AGAATCGCTTGACCCCAGGAAGTGGAGGATGCAATGAGCCAAGATGGCGCCTTTGCACTCCAGCCTGGGTGACAGAGGGAGACTCCATCTTAAAAAAAAAAAAAAAAAAAAAAAAAAAAGAGAGAGATTGTTCCGTCTTCTCTGCGCCAGCAACTCGTGGGTGAGGCTAACACAGACCATGTTATCCTGTGACCTGCAGTTACTGGGAGATCCCTAGGGAGGACCCAGGAACCTAGGGAGGACCCAGGACTCAGCCACTCTTCTGTATTTTCCTGGTTCTGGGTTTTACAACTGTCTGGGGATGACCCAAGATGCTCACAGTGGCCCTGTCTCTTGGAGTGTCTGTCCCAGCTTCCTTTCCTGGCAGACACGTTGGTGCTGGTACTAAGGAGAAAAGGCACACATGCATCTTGTCCTCTGGTTTCTCTCAGGCTTGTGAAGGGAGAATATTCCAAAGTGCAAGAAAAACCCACCTTAATGAGATAGTGTATGAACTCGCAAAGGAAAATACACATCAGGCATACAGGAGGCAAGTGCAGTGCCTTCTGAGAGGGTGGTGGTTAAATACCTTAGCAGGATGGGGGTTGGAGAATCTCTCAAGTGATTGACACATGAGTCCAATATGTTTGTGTTCCACTCAGCACCACCCCTCCTTGTGTTTGTAATCTTGAATATATTTGTTCACTTATTTCCATTTTTATTAACTGTATAATGTGTTTTGTCATTAGAGCTTGAAAGATAAAAAAACACAAACGTTTCTAAGAGGAAAAGAAAGGGATAGATTTCAGAGAAAATATCTTGTTTTATATTCCATTGGTTAAAAATTTTTATTGGCCGGGCGCGGTGGCTCAAGCCTGTAATCCCAGCACTTTGGGAGGCCGAGGCGGGTGGATCACAAGGTCAAGAGATCGAGACCATCCTGGTCAACATGGTGAAACCCCGTCTCTACTAAAAATACAAAAAAAAAAAAAATTGGCTGGGCATGGTGGCGCGTGCCTGTAATCCCAGCTACTCAGGAGGCTGAGGCAGGAGAATTGCCTGAACCCAGGAGACGGAGGTTGCGGTGAGCCGAGATCGCGCCATTGCACTCCAGCCTGGGTAAAAAGAGCGAAACTCCGTCTCAAAAAAAAAAAAAATTTATTTACCTTTTTTATTTTGTAGAGTGAATTTAGGAAGTTTCTGAGGTCTGTTCTATTTTAGCATGATTTCAAACTGAATCTCAGGGCTTAGCTTTGGGAATCCTACCTTAGAAAAAAATAGAAGAAATGTTTCTCATTATAGCTACAGAAAAATAAATCACTTATGAAAACATCAGTTCCTATTTTGTGCAGAGTGAAAAATTTTTGAGAGTGGGTACCTCAGTTCTGTTATCTGGATTTCAGTTTAATGTTAAATTTTATGGACTGAAACTTGGCAACTACTACAAGTGTGCATGCATTATTGTTTACTATATGATTTGTTATAAAAATGATAATTAAATGACACATTTATTGCCTGGAAAAGATAGCTACTTTTATTTTTATGTTGAGGTATAAAATAAAAATGCAAAAATTTTCTGCCTATAGCATAAAAAAAAAAAAGAAAGAAAAAAGAAAAAAAAGAAACCAGCCAAAACCCACCACAGCCAAGACAGTGATGAAGGTGACCTCCCTCTGGTTGTCCTCACTGCTCATAGTGTACTAATTATAATACATTAGCATGATAAAAGACACTCCCACCAGTACCGTGATAGTTGTTTTGTTGTTTTTTGTTTTGTTTTGTTTTTTTGAGACGGAGTTTTGCTCTTGTTGCCCAGGCTAGAGTGCAAAGGTGCAGTCTTGGCTCACTGCAACCTCCGCCTGCTGAGTAGCAATTCTCCTGCCCCAGCCTCCGGAGTAGCTAAAATTACAGGCATGCACCACCACACCTGGCTAATTTTTTTTTTTTTTTGTACTGTTAGTAGAGATGGGGTTTCTCCATGTTGGTCAGGCAGGTCTTTAACTCTCCACCTCAGGTGATCCACCCACCTTGGCCTCCCAGAATGTTGGGATTACAGGCCTGTGCTACCACACTGGGCTTCCCCAATATTTTATTATGAAACTCTCCAAATATTTGGGCGGAAAAATAATTGTAAGTGAACACTCATGCCGGGACTCAGGAACTAATACCCCAAAATATGGAGCTTTGACATGCTGAATGAACTGAAGCCTCCAGGTCTCTCTGACCTCACTGTCCTGTACTATCTCTCCCAAAGCACAAGATGAAGATGAAGCTCCTTTATCTGGCTACAATCCAGACTCACCGAAAGGAACAACTTGTTTTTCCTCCCCTCCCTGTAAGACAAAAAATATAATCACCTGAACAGACCCTTTGGTGCAAGTTCATCGCTGTGCCCTGATCCATCCACTTTTCCCTATTTATCCCCTCAACAGAGTGCCTCAGCTCTCTTCTCCCCAAGTTTGTTTGCCAGGATGATAGACAAGCTTCTGAACCCTGTTGTGGGTGGGAAATCACTGTGTGATTCTCCCTGCGCACACGTTAATGAATGTATATGCCTTTTCTCCTCCCATTAATCTGCCTTTTGTGAGTTGATTTTTCAGAGAACTTCAGAAGGCAAAGGGAATATTTTTCCCATAGTGCCTATACTCATATATACCCACCACCTAGATTCAAAATCAGCATTGCTATATTTGCAAAAAACTTTTTATAGGCTAATTTTATTACCACCTTTTTAAAAAATGTTCTTTTTACAACTACTGCTCCACAATGGAGCAGGGCTACCCCATAGGCAGTGTGCCCAGAGTAGCTATTATCACTTTATTTTTTTTTTTTTTTTTGAGACGGAGTTTCGCTCTGTCCCAGGCTGGAGTGCAGTGGCACGATCTCGGCTCACTGCAACCTCTGCTTCCCGGGTTCAAGCGATTTTCCTGTCTCAGCATCCTGAGAGTAGCTGGGATTACAGGCGGGCGCCACCACACCCGGTTAAATTTTTTTGTATTTTTAGTAGAGACGGGTTTTCACCTCGTTGGTCAGGCTGATCTCCAACTCCTGACCTCATAATCCGCCCCCCTCGGCCTCCCAAAGTGCTGGGATTACAGGCACGAGCCACCTCGCCCGGACACAATATTATCACCTTTTTTTTTTTTTTTTTTTTTTTTTTTTTTTTGAGACAGAGTTTCGCTCTTGTTACCCAGGCTGGAGTGCAATGGCGCGATCTCGGCTCACCGCAACCTCCGCCTCCTGGGTTCAGGCAATTCTCCTGCCTCAGCCTCCTGAGTAGCTGGGATTACAGGCACGCACCACCATGCCCAGCTAATGTTTTGTATTTTTGGTAGAGACGGGGTTTCACCATGTTGACCAGGATGGTCTCGATCTCTTGACCTCGTGATCCACCCGCCTCGGCCTCCCAAAGTGCTGGGATTACAGGCTTGAGCCACCACGCCCGGCCTTATTATCACCTTTTATTTCACCTAATGACTAAGGTATGATTCTATGTTTTATAGATAAAGAAACTGAAACTGAGGCTTTATTGACTTCCAAGAAGCTTGTCTGCCAGAAGTTGTAATCAACTTGTGCCAGCTGATCTGTCCATACCCTCCAGGTGTTAGATAAATAACCTAAGTCTGAAAAATATTTAGAATATTCTTGTGATGAAAGGCCTGCAATTCCACAACACTGGGGAATCAGCAAAATCATGGGAAAATCAATAGAATACATTTTTTCTTTTTTTTTGAGACGGAGTCTTGCTCTGTCGCCAGGCTGGAGGCTCACTGCAACCTCCGCCTCCCCGGTTCAAGCGATTCTTTCGCCTCAGCCTCCCGAGTAGCTGGGACCACAGGCGCATGCCACCATGCCCAACTAATTTTTGTATTTTTAGTAGAGACGGGGTTTCACCATGTTGGCCAGGATGGTCTCGATCTCTTGACCTCATGGTCCTCCCGCCTCAGCCTCCCAAAGTGCTGGGATTACAGGGGTGAGCCACCAAGCCCAGCCAGAATACATTTTTAATTCATGAGTCGTTCAGAGAATAATCCAGTCTTGGGTTTTCCCTCCCGCTTATTCCATTTCCATTCCTAATTAGTCATCATTTCCTGACCAGCCTGTCTAATATGTTTCTTCCATCCATTTTTTTCCAGTAACAGTAACCTGGTGCAGGTCTACAATATCTCTTGCTTCACCTGATTTCCTTCTGCCTTTTCATGAACCAGAGACACGTGATTTCCAATTAAAGCACAGGTCTGACCATATCCTTGTCCAGTTTACAAAACGTCAGCGGCTCGCAGCTATCTACCGAATTAAGCCTACTATAATCCGCTTCCTTCTACAATACAACATATCTACGTATCTGTCCTCTTATTCCTTAGCTTCCAGGACTAAGAGTTGTTTCCCCGCATACACACTCATTTACTTTTTTCATTTATAATTCACCACCACCCCCTCCAAAGTTTCACGTGTGTAAATTCTAGACCTTCACGTCATAGGCCAAGTCAAATGCCAATCCCTCTAACGAAGCTTCTAGAGATCCCGGGCATGTTGTCATCTATATCGCCAATCTTTGGCATCTTGTGGCACTGATCTCAGACTACCTTGCAGAGCTTTCTGATTTCCCTTGCCACCTTCTACCCCCTTTGCCTGAGTATAACATCTTTTGCTGTATCCACACAGACCTACGCAGGCACACACGGACGCCGTCTGCCACTCGGACAGACACGTGTCCCCTGGGCCACAGCCCTGGAACTGTCTCGGGATTCCCAGCCGGTGGGCGCTTCCATGCCGGCCAGCCGAAGGGGACTCTTATTACTTCAGAACTGCTTCAACGGATACGTCTTTCTTTAGACCGCCTAGGGTTTCTAATCCATAGATCAGCCTAAGTCCTTCTTCCTTTTAAAACAGGATTACCCCGGGTCGAGGGAGCCCGGCGTGGCCGTGCGGTAGCCGAGTCCCGGGGATCCCCCTCCAGCTCCCGCTTGGTAGCGCCCGCTTTGTCAGCGCGCAGCGCTTGCGGAGCGCCCTGCAGCTCTCGCCAGATCTCTCCGCAGACGGTGCAGACGCAGCGTTCGTGCGCCTCCCTCTGGGGCTCGGCTGCTCGGGATTTCCCCAGGACCTGCGCCGCGCGAGAAGGAGCCTGGGAGCATCCGCCCAGACTGCCGGGACTGTCGGCTCGACTCGCCGCCTTTGGCTCCCAGCCGGGCTCCGCTCCTCGGGCGCTCGAGGGGCCGCGGTGGTGGCGGTGGCGCCCGGCATGTTTCAGAGCCCGCGGCGGCTTTGCTCGGCCCTGCTGCAGAGGGACGCGTCCGGCCTGCGCCGCCTGCCCGCTCCCGGGCTCCGCCGCCCGTCTTCCCCGCCGGCGGCTGCCCCTAGGCCCGCATCCCCCCGGCTGCTGGCGGCGGCCTCGGCGGCCTCGGGCGCCGTGAGGTCGTGTTCCCGAACAGGTGAGTGCACCGCGGTTCCGGGCGGAGAACGCCACCGCCACCAACGCTTGGCCGCCACCTGGAGACAGCGCGGAATGAATGGGAAGCTCCGGGTTGCCGGTCGTGGGGTCTGGCCTGGAAGTGGATCCTTTCCCGGAGCAACCTTCTCTGTTCCCTTTTTCCTCTTTCCCTGTCCCCCGACTTGCTTGGGGCTTGTATCAAGACTGGTAAGAACTGGGAGACTGGATTCAGGTTCCTGCTTGACTCTTGGAGGCCGTGCTTTGAGGATTTCTTGCTCTTGACCTACGTTAAATTTCTCCCTTCCGAGGCCGCGAGTTACTATGTTGGTTACACTTTTTGTTGCACGACTTAACGGAAATTTTTATGGAAAAAAAAATCTAAATGATGTTTCTTTGCTCATGGCTTGCATGGTCTAGATATTACATTTTTTAAGTCGTGATAATAACACATTGATTCGTTTTACGTTTCTTTGGATTCTTGGTTTTTTTTTTTTTTTTTTTTTTTGAGCCTTCCACTCTTGATACTTAACATCATTTTGTCCTGTGTACCTAAGATCTTGTAAAAGTGTGGCCTTTGTTTCTCCAAGAGCTGTTTTTATACATCATAGCAACTACCCTGAATTTTCCTTTTTTGCCTCCTCGGTTTCTGCCTGGGCACACGTTACCATGGCCACAGATTAATTGTATTTTTAAAATTGACAAATTTTTCCTTTCAAAGTGGCAATTCATAACACGTTTTTAAATTTAATTTTATTGATTTTTATTTATTTATTTTGAGATGGAGTCTCTCTGTCGCTTAGGCTGGAGTGCAGTGGTGAGTCTCAGCTCACTGCAACCTTCCCCTCCTGGGTTCAAGTGATTCTCCTGCCTCAGCCTCCCGAGTAGCTGCGACTACAGGCGCCCCGCATCATGCGTGGCTAATTTTTTGTATTTTTAGTAGAAACGGTGTTTCACTATGTTGACCAGGCTGGTCTCGAACTCCTAACCTGGAGATTTGCCCGCCTCGGCCTCCCAAAGTGCTGGGATTACAGGCCTGAGCCACCGAGCCCTGCCATAACACATTTTTTAAGGTGTATTTTGGTTGCCTTCGAGCTAGATAATTGCTTTTTAAGATATTTGTATATCCATTCCAGAGTATATATAACTACATTTTGCTAGTCAAGTTTTGGATTAATTTAAGAAAGACAAATTGAACAATTGAAAGAATAGGGTCAATGTAACTTTCTTAATTAACAAAAGTGGTTGCCTGAGCACAGATGCTCACACCTGTAAATCCCAACATTTTGGGAGGCTGAGGCAGGAGGTTGCTTAAACCCAGGAGTTGGAGACCAGCCTGGGCAATAGAGTGAGACACAGTTGCTATAAAATTTTAAAAATAGACCAGATGTGGGAATACAGTTAGCTTGTGTAAAACAGATAGAGATTGCTGTGTTATCTGAGGAATAAATATCAGGTCAGATTGGAATGTTGGGCTTTTGATCCAAGAAAGTATTTAATGAACTTCTTTTAAGAAATCCCCTGAAACCCCCTAGTTTTACAGATAAGGAAGTTGAAGGACTTTATGGTACCTAAACTTTTGTAGGCAGTTACTAAATTTTCCTGTTGCATGCAGTTTTAGCTTCAGCAGCTTGTTGGAAGAAACACGTGCATGCATTGATTCATTCATTGCTTGTTCACTCATTCCAGATCTTTACAGAATGTCTCACACAACGTAGGTGCTTTATTATAGATGGTAAAAAGAACATGAGCTTTAGTCAGTCCCTAAGGCGTTTACTGCCCAGTAAGAGATGAGATTTGCACAAAGAAATGGCTGTTTAATGAAATGAAACATATTTTATTCTCTTGACTTGCAAACGGCACAAGGGTGCAGGAAAGCAGGAAGTCCCTTTTAGGCTTCTAGAAGTGGGTGGCATTTCAGCTGGATCTTGAAGCATGGTTAGGATTGGAAGAGATTAAAGCATTTTGTTTGGGTAAAGCAGGAGTAAATGTGAAAAGGCATGGGACACAGATGAGAAGGGTAAGTGCTCTTTAATTCTAATTTTTTTTTTTTTTTAAACAAAATCTCTCACACTGTCACCCAGGCTGGAGTGCAATGGTACCATCTCTGCCCACTGCAACCTCTACCTCCCAGGCTCAAGCAATTCTCCTGTCTCAGCCTCCCGAGTAGCTATGACTACAGGCACACCACTGCACCTGGCTGATTTTTGTATTTTTAGTAGAGACGGGATTTCAATATGTTGCCCAGGCCCAGCTTGAACTTTTCAGCTCAGGTGATTCACCTGCCTTGGCGTCCCAAAGTTCTGGGATTATAGGCATGAGTCATCGGGCCCAGCCTATTAAGTGCTTTTTAAAAATGCAGATTCTGGAACTGCGGTGGCTCAGGCCAATTGTCCTGGTGCTTGAGGAGGCGAGGCTATGCGTTCGAGGCCAGCCAGAGCAATATAAAAAGCTTTCATTGATTTAAAAAATATTTTAAAAATAATGAAAATAAAAATGCAGATTCTTGGATCCGACTGTAGACCTGTTAAGTCTCAGTCATTTATGATGTGCCTTGGATTCCACATAACTAAATGAAATGACAAAATAATAAACTCCAGTTTGTTTATCTATACCCCCAAATTTGGACATCTGGCACCCACATGTGAGAGAGACATTGAAGGGGCTGAAAGCTCCTCTCCCCTCCAGAGCTTTGTATTAGTGAGTAGTGAGTCCCAACACCTGTCCACATTTGCTAATCAGTTCCCACATAACTTATGCCTCTTGGCAATTGGTGGTTATTTGGAAGATAAGTACAGTCCCTTTGGAGTCATCCAATTCCAGATTGTTAGAATTAAATGGTGATCTTGGGGATGATCTCGGTGTTTGGCTTCCTTTTCTCAAGCAAGGATAGCATCTCCCACAGAGGTAGCAGTTGCCACAGTTACTGTACTGGATGAAACGCAGTTGGAAGTCATCCGTGGGTTTGTAAATGCTATCCTCCACATCCCTCCCCCTCAGAGAATGAAGAGTTGGCTGAACTGTTCTCCACCATTAGAACATATGCTTTTTTCATGGTACAATTTTAAAGGCAAATGCCACCAGCTCATTTGAGAAGGCAGCTTTATTTAATATGTCCTTTAACTATGCGAGTAAACTGCTTATGAGAGAAGAAATGGGAAAGCTTGTAATTATCAAGCTGCCATGGTATAAATTGCTTTCCTGTGGGAAAACTAATGTATGATTTTTCTGTAGCATTCAAAGGCAACAGTTTAAATATGGTGAAGGGGAGTGGGGGAGTGCCTCTGGGGTTAATAACCATGGCTCCAGATTCACATTCCACGTACTTCCATTAACATTTGCAAATCGTTTAACTTTGCTTGCTGTCTCAACACTA